TTTATTCAGCTTTCAGATGATGCATAAATCTCAATTTCACAAAATTGACTCTTATGACTGGTTTTGTGGTCACATATATATAATTTTATTAGGTAATATTAGGCCATAACTATGTGATATAAAGTTTGTACTGATATTGTTAAACATTGCTACTACTATACCTCTAATTATAAAAGTATTATTTTGATAAATTGAGCAGCCCCATTTATTTACTTTAATGTTAAATTAGATTTCATTCATTAACTCCTGCACTACAGTCTGATCGGGATTATTAATAATAATAATAATAATACTAATAATGACCAGTGAGCTCGGCCATGTGTTCCTGCGGGATGCCCATGACCCCGTGGCAGGCCTGGATCTGTTGGGCCACCAGCGGTTTGGTGGGAGCCATGAAGACGATCTTGCTGGAGGGGAACCAGCGGTAGAAGTTGTACATGAGCACCGAGGCGATGAAGGTCTTGCCCAGGCCGGTGGGGAGGCAGACCAGCGTGTTCTGCAGCAGCGCCGCCTCCGAGATCCGCAGCTGGTACTCGCGGAGCGGGTAATTAACGGGGTAGATCCAGACGCGGCCCGCCGAGGGGTCAAAGCCCAGCTCCGGAGCGGCCTGCAGCGAGCGCTCGGCCTCGTACACAGCCACCAGCATCACATCATCATCCTCCTCATCTTCATCAGGAGCCGCTGCGGGATCTGGGGTATTACAGAGAGCAGGTTATGGGACTCATCCGGGGATGTTTAAGGGCAAGCAAGCAGATAAACTCAGTTAGGGCTGGGTGGTATATCGAGTTTGTACGAAATATAGATATTTTCTTTATAAGCAATTCGATATGAGGCAATACCGTTTATATGGATATACAGTAGTTTGATACGAGCCCATCTGAAAATATAGCGGAGGACACAGACTGAGCTGCTACGGAGAAAGTGCATAAACTAGTTTGCTCTAAATAGGGTTGGGTACCGTGTAACCGGTATGTACTAGAACCGAATCAGCAACAAAATCTGTGAAGACTCAAACGTAAATGTTTTCTGCAATCATACACTTTAGGTGCAGTAAAAAGCACATTTTTTCTTAGGTTGTACCCTACTGTTAAACGTTTTAGCCACTTGTGCAAAACTGCTGTCAAATATAATATCATCAATATATTTTCTTTATCAATTAACTTGAGCTGTGAGCATCCTCTGCGTTTAAAGCAGCTTTAGCCACTTGAGCAGCTTCTCAGCGAGGTTTCCCTCAGTTTGTTCTGTTTCTTCACGGTTTCTGCAGGTGTGTGTGAGAATGTGTGTGTGTGTGAGAGTGCGTGTGTGTGTGTGTGTGTGTGAGTGAGTGAGTGTGTGTGTGTGAGAGGGCGAGTTAGCCGTGGTTTCTGCAGTACACACCTGGTCTGGCGCTGGTTTTGCTCGGGTCTCTGCGGCCCCAGGACTGGAATAACGTTCTCTGATGGGCGCTCATTGTAGAATCACCTCATCTTCATCTTCGGTGGATATTAACTCACAGACGCGACTAAATCCTGTCTGAGCGAGCATACCGCGACGACATCAGACGCGCTGAAGCGCTGTGTGGTTATTAACGCTCATAACCGAAACATAAGCGGCTTTTAATATCCCAAACAAACGTAAACACAGCAGAGAGCGCGAAACGGCGGCTCGAATGTGGCGCGTACGGCTGACGTCACCATGCGTCAACGAGCGTGCGCATGCGCAGACGGGGAAAGCGTGTTCAGACGTCCACGTTCCAATCAATAATTAATATATAAAGAACTGATCATTTATTTTTAATCATTAAGCTCATCATGTGTAAAAAATAATAATAATGTGAAAACACCGGCAAAAGCCTACGCATTAAATTACCTTAAATCAGAAAGTGTATTATTCTGACACATAAACAAACCATGAAGATCTAACAAGAAAACTAATGAAGATCATCAGTGCAGAACGATCACACAACACGTGTTTACAGAAATAAGACACTTTATTATATAGATAAATCTCTGTCTCTGGGATAATGTAATGTGAAATCTCATCAAGGCTGTTCTGGAGCGACTGGCACTAAACTGAGAGCTAGATCTGGACACGAGCTCGCCTGTGTTCTTCTGATTCACTCAAACACACCCAGAGCCTCCGGGTCCAAATGATGATTTTACTCTTTTGTTTTTAAAAACCCAACAATAAATTCAGTCATGCAAATAATCTAGGACAGGTCGCACTTAAAACAGGCCATAATGAAGTCAATATAATATGAAGTCAATAAAATATATATATATATATACCGTACAGCAGCGACACACAGCATCCGTACAGCTAATACTGCACTATTATACAGTACAAAAGTCTGGTGTAAATCTGCACTCAAACACACTCACACTCATTCACTCACTCACTCACTCACTCACTCACTCACACACACACACACACACACTCACTCACTCACTCACTCACTCACTCACACACACACACTCACACACTCACTCACTCTCATTCACTCTCACACACACACACACACACTCACTCTCACTCACTCTCACTCACTCACTCACTCACACACACACACACACACACACACACACACTCAATATTTAATACAAATATAATTAAAAAGGAAGTAAACACTGTAACCAACAGAGCACTCAGTATTCTGGGAAGTTTGTGTGCATTAATCATATTTTTTCAAATAAAGCCAAGGTAACACTCATTTTACACACAGCACACAGTGGAAATGACATGAATATGGAAGCGGGTAAATGCTTAAAGCGCAGCATAATCTAAAATCACGAGTTTAAAGTTAGTCTCCAGTGAAGCTGAACTCTCCTCCTGTCCGCATTCACACGGACCGACCGTCACGCAGAGAACACGCGATCATGCAGGTCACACATACACACTTCACGAGATCTCAACTAGATTCAACTAAGTTTGCAAGGTTTTTGAAATTAGTTGTTTATTAGACATTCAAAGATTTGTTTAAATGATATAAATGCGTATTTGCTGAATGCTGACGGCAAACATGAAAGTATTATAATGTTTGCCTTTCTATTACTAATAATATAAAAGCAATCGTTATAATACTTTTTGTACATAACTTATATATTTTAATTCCTTTGTTTAACCGTTCTATCTGATTATTAGACAGACTTCTATCCATATTAGACGGAACTGTTAACGACGACAGCGAACAAGAATGTGAGCGGTGTGTGTTCAGGTGCTGCTGTTCTCAAATCCCGCCTCGAACGCATCGGCCAAACAGGAAAACTTATCAGCTGATGCCGATATTTAAAAAATTCCAACGGGAGAACCTTCTGCTCCACCAGCTGCGGTCTGCGCGGGTACAGCTCCGTCACCAGCTCTGAGAAACAACACAAACATCACGCTTTCAGCTCCACACATGCTTATTACTGGGGTCTGGTGAAGAGACATTCAAGAGCTTTTTAAGACCAAGAAAAGAAACTGAAAATGAAATATTTAAATACAAATAACAAAAAGGAATGACAGAACATATGAAGTCTTGTTTTCTGAGAAATTGATCAAATGAAGTCAGTTCATGATTAAAATATAAACACATGCTGTATCTGTCAGTGGGGTAGGGCTGCATGATTTGGGGGGGGGGGCGATCTAATTTTCTAAATCTAAATTTCTAATTTGTCTGGTAAAAATTTTAATAAAAAAAAAAAAAGATTGTTGTGCTTGTTTGTAGAGCTGCACAATTTGTGCTTAGACATCAACATGAATAATAATAATTATAAAAGATTTTTAAAAAGTCAATTACAAGATAAAAAAATTTATATAATAATAATTTGTATATTTTAATAATTTTACAATAATAATAATAATAATACTGCAGGGTGAACTGTTAACATGCAGGAGGCCTATAACTATAACTCATTAAAAAGGTCTAAGGTTTTATTATAAAATAATATTTTATTATGATAAAAATATGTGAAAGTATTTTCTTGTCAGAAGGTGTGCACACTACGCATATATTTAATTCAAAATCACAGCCTTTGCCATTTCATAATCACACTAAAGCCGAATCTTGATTTGAGTTTTATTTCGATTAATTGCACAGCCCTAAAGAAAACTCAACTTCATTCAAAGGGAAAACATGTTTTCATTCCCCACTGACAGATATTTGTTCTTTTTTAATCATAAACTCGCTTCATTTTGTTAAATTTCTTAGAAAACAAGACTTGTACCTTCAGTTTACATCTCCAGTAAATGTATCTTGATGAACGGATGTTTAGATATTTGTACCGGAAAGCAAGAGAGAAATACTGAGGAAGAGATTTAGTTTTGCAGTGATGCAACATTTAATGCCATGACTTTATTCATTTCAGACTTTCTGCTCTGATTTAAGAGTTTTTAAGGCTTTATTTTGTGGAAGGGTGAATAAAGACCAGCAGAAGGCCTGGTCTGGACTGACCTGCGACTCTCTCGATGAGGTCCAGCTTGGCTTTCCCGCTCAGATACTGGGCTTTGGAGCAGAAGGGCTGCAGCAGGAGGCTGTTGTCTGAAACACAGAGTCAGAGTCAAACGCACTGAAGATCAGCTCAAATCAGTCAAAGCCAACTCAACGCACCGATGTTGTGCATCAGAGCCTGAACGGCTCCCAGCGCCGCCGTGGAGATGCTGCTGTTCTTGGAGTTGAGGTGATTGTCCACGACGGCGGGGATCAGGATGTTGAGCACTGGAGCCAGACTGTCTCTGAGCAGAGCGATGATGGGCTGAAGAGCCTCCAGAGCCCGCAGGTTCACCTTACTGTTGGACTCCTGCAGACGCACCTTCAGATCATCAAACACCTGCGGCAGACCAGCAGCGTCAGCAACATCAGCAACATTTATATATATATTTTTTTATAAATAATTTGTACAAGTACAGTATAAATTATTAGTTATTAATTGAAACAAGCTGAAAATCAGTGAAAGTTGATTTGACTGGAAGGTTTTATTGAGTGCCCTGAATCAGGGATCTGTGGTGTCTGACAGGTTTAATTACCGGGAACAGGCTGCCGATGACCAGAGCCGGGTTCTCCTCGCAGTCGCACACCAGCTGATCGATGGCCTTGATTCTCTCCCTGAAGTCTTTGGAGTTGAGCAGCGTCTTCATCTGTTTGACGTACTCGCTCCGGTCCGCCAGGCTGTGCACGGCCGCTTTACTCACCGCCTGCCCACAATCCCTGCTGCCGCTCAGAGGCTCACGTGTGAGGGACGAGGTGCGCACCAGCCCACTACCTGGGAGAGAGCGCCTGCCCCGCGCCGACGGAGCATCCTGAGGCATCTCCCCCAAACCCTGACACACACACACAGGGGAGTTTAACACTGAACACTGGTAGACACACCAGACACGCCCATGTACACACCCACTGACACGCCCACAACCAGACACACCCATGTACACCCACTGACACGTCCACAACCACACCAGACACGCCCATGTACACCCCCACTGACACGCCCACAATCACACCAGACACGCCCACAATCACACCAGACACGCCCATGTACACCCACTGACACGCTTCAACATTAGAACATTTCAACACAGAAATAAATTACTGTTTAACAGATATTCACATAGAAAACAGCTAGCTTAAGTTGCAATAATATTTCACTATTTTTAATCAAATAAATGCAGCTTTTTTCAAAAACGTGAAAAAAAATCATACGGACACCAATATTTTGAGCAGTAGTGTACACATGCAGGAAAACGGCTAGCTGTGTTTGTGAGGGTTTGTGCACACCTTGGTTTTGAGCGTGAAGACGGCGTCTCTGATGGTCGGCAGGTCTTTAGCAGAGATGCACTTCTCCAACATTTTATCAAAGTCACGGTGAGAGGACAAAAACAGCAGCATGCGTCGACCAAAGTACCTGAGAGAGACACAGCAATGAAAGCGTGAAGCGCTGAGGCGAGAGTGTGTCAGGCTGCGTGACCTCTGACCCCTGCGCCGCTCACCTGGCCTCCTGAGACGAGTCCTGCACCAGCTTACAGACGGCTGGTAGGATGCGGTCGGTCAGATCTTTAGCTCCAGACAGCAGACGAGCGGCTCCGACCCGCTCCACCAGACCGCTGAGATGCAGAGCCGCACACTTGCGCACTACTGAGTTCAGATGCCTGTGAACGAAACACATTACAGAATAACATCTCTAACCCTCTATATCAAACTACAGTCAGAAAAATATAACTATTTGTGATGGAACAGTCAATGTTTGCATGTGTGTTTTTGTTGAGTAACCCCTAGTGAAAGATATATATACAAAATGTATTTGAAATACATTTATTTCATGCTAAGCATACTACAAATACATTTAAATATTTATGTACTTAATAAAGACAGCATGGAATTGTACTTGTAGTATACTAAACTGGTATACTTAAAGTCTGCTAAATTGGAACAACTAATTTTGTGCTTAATGCACTTTAATTGTGCAGAAGTAGCGCTGTAGTACAATTAAAGATATGCTTAGTATATTTTATTGTGCTAAAGTGGAACTATTGCAAGTATACTTTAGGCACACATTAAATATTTTGCATTTAAAGACTGCTATTATTCAAAGATCATTGGATCCTCATCAATACCAGTATTGGTATTATACCAGTAAGTCTCCAGCGATATGTTTGTAAATATGTTAATAGATTTGAACTACACTTAGTATGAAATAGGCCTCAATGTATTTTAAATATAGTTCTTTTTTTTTACTAGGGCCATATTTGATCATCTGGCTTTTATGGCTCATATAGTCTGATAGAGTGAGAATATGAGGAAAAAACAGCTCAGTTTTATTCAGAGACTCTAACTGAGCAAAAATATGAATTTGCTACAGATGCTGATATTTCTATGATGAAATTGAAGTTGGATGCTTGTACGATTACACTTAAAGAGCTTTGACTGGATAAAACACTCTAAACTCTCAATCAGAGACAGAAGACGTGCAGCAGAGTTTGATGGCTTCGAGGTGTGTGTGTGATCATGTGACGCAGGTGATCTCTGACCCGAGTCCTCCGGCGAGCAGCGCGCTCATGCTGCGTGTGAGAGTGCAGTGCTGCACCATGCTCTCCAGCGCTCGCTCCACGTCTTGTCTGATGAAGGCGTTGCATTCTCCGGCTTTCTGCAGCAGAGCTCTGACCGTCCCATCCAGCTCCTGATCCATTCCCTTCTGCAGCACCGCGAACATCTCTCCCAGCGTCACCACAGCCACACGAGACACGCCGGAGCGCAGGTTACGAACCTTCATCAGAGAGAGACACACCAGATGACGCATGCTCAGAATAATCACACTACTGCCTTCTGTAGAGCTGCTTTACAGCTGAAACTAGTTCCATCTTTGATACATTTTGCAACATTAACTATGTTTCCATCCACCTATTTTTATGCACATTTTGGAATATTGCATAAAAAAAACCTTGGATGGAAACGCCAAGATGCACATACATTCTAAAAATGCACATTAAAAAACGTGAGTATGATAAACGTTTTATCCGATAAGAAAAAATGTGCATAAACTACGATGAAGACACTGAATAAATTCCTCCGTGCGCATCTAAAAAGTCATGTGACGGGATAACTCGACTAGCAGCGGACCAATCTCGGTCACAGCATCTGAAATATTGTTCTGAAAAGCCTGAGTAAAGTCTGTCGTCAAAGTATTTCTGTATAATTGTCTTAAACGACTGCGTTCCCAAACAGCAGCATCCGCCTCTGAAAGCTGAAAAGGGATGCACGATATTATCGGACCGATATCGGCTGATAATGGCTTTAACTGTAAATATCGGCATCGGCCCGATATGAAAAATTATGCCGATATATCTTGCCGATAAGAGGAATACATTAACTCACATGTGCTCAGGGTGTGCTAGCGATTAGATCATGTCAACAGTGTGGCTCATTCTTGAAGCAAAGATTTGTCTGAATGATGATTAGATTGACGGTTTGGATCGCTGCATTTATTCTGTGAAAGCACTTACAGATAAACAGTAATAGCACGTGCAGTGGGTCCAAATGCCCGCTCAGTAAGGAGTTTTAATCTGTAGGGGGCGCTGTTGGCCTACTTCTAATTAAATTAAATAAAGCAGTAATTGATGTCATAAAATAATGAGTATGTTTTGATTTAAAGGTCAGAAGCTATAGCTTACATGAATAAAAAAATAAATCACAAACATGAAACTTGTAAATTAAATAATTTTATACTGATTTATTCATTAACGTGTAATATGTTTTATTTTTTAAACAAATCATAAGCTCTAAAAGATTTTCAGAATTTGTACAACTCTTTTGCTTTAGACCATCTACTAATGTTAAATCTTAAAATAAAACGTTAGGGTTAACCTTGCATCTTTCTGGGGGGGAAAATGCAGCGATTGATATATAGTTTATTTATAACTATTTTCAATGTACTGTCAAAAAACCTTCATTATTGTTTATTTAATTCTAACAAATAAGTTCTTGTTAAAAACTAACCAAAATTGAAAATATTTCGCTTAGACAGGAGAGACTTGGTGTTGTTTCCAAACGAAAGGAAATATATCGGTTATTCACAAACATGAAACTTGTAAATTAAATAATTTTATACTGATTTATTCATTAACGTGTAATATGTTTTATTTTTTAAACAAATCATAAGCTCTAAAAGATTTTCAGAATTTGTACAACTCTTTTGCTTTAGACCATCTACTAATGTTAAATCTTAAAATAAAACGTTAGGGTTAACCTTGCATCTTTCTGGGGGGGAAAATGCAGCGATTGATATATAGTTTATTTATAACTATTTTCAATGTACTGTCAAAAAACCTTCATTATTGTTTATTTAATTCTAACAAATAAGTTCTTGTTAAAAACTAACCAAAATTGAAAATATTTCGCTTAGACAGGAGAGACTTGGTGTTGTTTCCAAACAAAAGGAAATATATCGGTTATCGGCCAAAATGAGTTAAAAAATATCGGTATATCGGATATCTGAAATAATCCAATATCGTATATTTATCATATATGAAAGTTATTATATTCAGTGGCTTCTCCTACTTTTCTTAGCGATATTTAGTGCCAGTTTATCAGGAAGTGACAATTTTGCTTTATACGCAAATGTCTTATGCGAAATTCGAGTTTTGTGCAGAAGTTTAATTCGAATCTTTGGATGGAAACATAGCTATTAACATTAGGGCTGGCAAAATGGCTGAAAAACTACATTTGAATTTTGTACTTAAATATTATCAATATTCAAATTATATTCGAATTTAAAAGGTATAATTTCAGTTAGGTGGAAAAAAGCTTTTGGCTTCTCTCCTGAGGACACAAGAGGGCGCATCGAGCAAAGTATTACTAATGCACTTATTAAGTAATAAAATAACATGACTGTCTTTGAAAAAAAAAAGTGCATAGTGTTTAAAAGAATGTTTATAAGTTGCTTAAACAAATAGAACCAAAACACATTTTATATTTAAAAACATGAGATGCAGTGGGACGGGAAAAACCACCATAAAGTCTCGAGACGTGTATTTTTAAAAGTTGAACTTACATTCATTTTAAGTGGCTTTCTAAAAATGCGGCTCTCTTGTGCGAGACAGATTTGGATTTTTATTTTGAATTCGAATTTGAATTTTTATTGGACCGCCCTCCTGTGTGATCTGTGTTGATCTGTGTTGTATAAAGTGCTATAGAAATAAATGTGACTGGTCTTGAAATGATTTGTGAGCGTGAGCTGCAGTAGAGACTGACCTCCTGAATGAGAGCGAGACACACGTCATGAATCCTGCTCATGAGCACGTCAGGATGATACTGAGCCAAACTACGCAGGAAGTTCATCCCCTCGATCTTCTTCTCCCTTCATGAACAGAATATATTTACGCTAACGACTTTACAAGAGGATCTGTCGAGCTCTATTTGTGTGTGATGATGAACGAGCACACCTGTGTCGATGCTAAACACAGACTCACCAGTCGTCTGCGGCGATCAGTCTGAAGCTTTGCGTTAGCGCCAGCTCCGGTTTAGAGAACGGCCGCAGGTCTGCCTGATCCTGACCCTCTTTCTTCAGACTCCCAGTAATCAACTCATCTGATGGACAGACATGAACAACTTTATTATGATCACACACGCCGAGACAAACCTCAGCGACAGACTGATTATATCTGACATGACATTTATGAAGTCTGTAGAAGCTTTTATCCACGGTAAACATGTTATAAGTGTGATCCCTGGGAACTGAAGCCATGACCTTGTTGAGATAGATCTACAATTTACTGACTCAAGCTAAGGTCACAATTTTGCAGGGGGAAAAAAAGTCAATTTGTGAATAGTGTAATGATATATGAAGCACGGTCACTTTCAAATCAAGCAGCTTTCTGTGGGTCAATGCACTAAGTGAAATTCATTTAAAGCATTCTTGCTGAATAAATACATTAATTATTTTTTTTAAATCTTACTGACCCCAAACTTTTGAACAGTGATGTAAAGTCTGAAGTAGATTTGAGTAAGTGTTTGTGTGATTTTATTGCTCGCTGCACATACAGTGTGTGACGTGTATATTTTCTCTCTCACTGGAGCTGTGTGACGCAGGTGGTCTGATCCGGTTCAGACTAGACACCCGTCTCAGTCGTGGCGCTGCATTCCTATTGGGCAGGCTGGTCGGGGGGGCGGGCTGATGGGCGGGGCTTAGATATTTCACTGGATTCTGCGATCCAGTCGGGCAGGAGGGAGATTCATCAGAGAGCGACTCGCATCCGTTCAGACTCACGTCTGAAAACAAACCAGAAACGGTGAGCACATAGAGACGACAGATGAGCGATGGCCGTCACTGCTGTTGACCTCTCACCTTTCACATCGTTGATGAGCATGCGGTGTCTCACTGGGTCCTGAGCGGGGGGCGTGTCCTGCTGATGCATCTTGTCGCTCGCACACTTGGAGAGTCTGACTCTCTCCTGTAACGCACACAGATCACGTGACTCAGGATCACAGCGGAGGCTCGATTTAAAGGGATCAAGACATGAGAAACCAAATTTCCCTTGATCTTTTGACACAGAAGAGGTCTTTGTATGCTTAATACATCCTGCAAGTTTCATAGCTTAAAACGTCCTCCTCATTATAAACAAAGCATTTATTTAATTAAGCTCCAGAAGCGGCTCGTTTGGATCTGAGGTGCAAGGTGACATCACAGGGCACTAACATTTGCATAAACTCCGCCTCCAGAGCGGCACATCGACATAGGCCCCGCCCACTGGCGTTCAGTCGCTAACGGCTTGAGCAGCTGAATGCGAGCGTCGCGTCAAAAGCAAATAGAAACTACAATCACTGCGCTATCTTGTCTGCACTGGATACAGTAAACAGATGCGGTTCTCTTTCTGACAGTCCAGCGCTCGAGTCTGTCGTCAGGACTAATGCAGTGAAATGCAGTCTTTGTTCAGATATCAGAAGGAGCCCAGTGTGGGAACAAGTGGACAGTTTATTTTAATGGCGTCTCGGATCGTGTCGGAGGATTTTGTTTTGTAAACGAGGCACAGTGTCAGGGAGAGTCACAAAGAAACATGTGTTGAGAGATGAAGCGGTGCTAGATCTGGCTGCAGCTGCATCACAAACCATAAGTACATGATTTCCCAATGCTTTGTCTGGAAATGACAAAAAATGATCATGTTGTCAAAACGCATGCAATAGTGAGGGGGTGTTGATACTGTCTCCTAAGAAATGAGGTTAGCCAATCACAACAGCGGCTGATTACGGAGAAGCCTTAAAGGACACGCCACTTAAAACAGCCTGTTTCTGAGATAGTTTCAGAATGAGGGTTGAAAATAATAATTTTTCCACATATTTATTTGTTTTTTTGTGTGCAAAAAACTTTAATGAAGGGCACCTATTATGTCCCTTTTTACAAGACGTAATATTGGTCTTGGGTGTCCCCAGAATGTGTCTGAATTTTCAGCTCAAAATACCCCAAAGATCATTTATTATAAGAGCTGGAAAATGCAATTTTTTGGGGTGTGTCTAAAAAAAGAGCTGTTTTGGTGTGTGTCACTTTAAATGCAAAAGAGCTGCATATTCCCGCCCCGTCTCCAGAAGAGGGCGTCACGTATACATCTCTCTGCTTTGCATACATATACCTAATAAACAGCTGGTAGAAGCAACATGACTGAGAGCGAGAGAACCGGTGTTGAGCTGTACATATGGAAAGCCAAACGCACTGAAAGTGAGACGAAACAGCGCGATGTTACAGAGCAAGAAGATGGGAGTGAGCATCTTTTAACTTGAGCGCCGTGTTTTTAGAAAGCCGTTTCATGCATGAGACACTGCAAGAGACGCGAGCGCAACCATGTTTACACAGAAAACACAATGGAAAAGCAGCGCAATCGAATAAAAAAACCTGTAAAGAACTACTACTGTATGCCTGATAATTCAAGCTGCTGTTGTTTTTACAGAACATTTATAGTTACATTAATAGTCTACTGGTGTTATACCTTCATTCATTCTGAATTTGAATTACCTTGACGTTTGAGATTTTTTAAAAGCATTTTCCTCGTATTATTTCTGAACTTATAATATGTATAAGACAAGTTTGTACCGGATGTAGTTGTAGTTCATGCGTCTTTTCTGCAAAGATATATTTAACAAGTGATTTGTTTAACATTTACATCATGTGTGCTGCACTTGGAATAGAATTTTCTTTAACTAGAGGGTTAATAAAGAAAAAGTTACTTGAAAGAAACCATGTCATGACCCCTTTAACACCGTCAACCTGTATGAGACACACCTGAGTGACCGGCAGCTCCTCTGGTTCAGGACTGGCGTCAGACTCGACGAGTGCGCTGGTGAAGCCGCTTTTACCGGCCGAGTCACACTGCTCGGGAGAAGACGCCACACTGAGACGACTGGGCAGAACAACCGAACCGAACACTCCTGCAGACATGAGGGAAGAAGCCGAGCGAGGATGAGAGCGGCTGTGCTTTAGATCAGCTGACAGTAAAACAGCAGTGAACTGACCTCGTCCGATCACACCCTCTGACATGTCACGACTGCACGACACGCGCTGCTGAGATCCTGAGAGAAACACCAGACATTATTACATCAAAAACTACTCAACGGGACTCTCAGACATCCTCAAACAATTTATACACTACTGATAAAAGACTGGAATAATTAAGATCTTTCTGTTTGTGAAAGAAGTCTCTTCTGCTCACCAAGATGCATTTATTTGATCAAAAATGCAGTAGAAACCGTGAAATATTATTACAAAGTAAAACTGCTGCTTTCTATGTAAATACAGTATATAGTTAAACGTAATCGAACCGTGATACACAACCATTCAAAAATCTGGGATAAGTAAAAT